GCAAGTGCAAACCATACATTATTTTGTTTGTTGTTCAAAATAGTTATTTTTCTGTGAGGCCGTGGTATTGCTCCTGCCGAATCTAACCCATTTGTGACAAAGCATGACTCTCCCACGATATTATGGTTTATTTCTATATAAAACCTCTTATGCAAAAATGTTCTTTTATGTGATTTGTGGTCAGATAACTCAATTGGTCCGAGTGTCTTTACTGTTAGTCGCTGTCTCGTCTTCGAGCCCTTGTCTTTTGTGTTTACATAATACATTTTACGAAGAACGCAAGTTATACACACCAAAAATAATTACGTATATATTGTTGATCATTTCAGCAGTTTTAGCTAACAATCGGTCGTTTACAGCTTGATGATCTTCTTTGTTAATATAGCGGCCTTTGTTCAGCAGTAGATGTATTACGGCTGAGATTTGTAATAATCAAGATTATAAATTATCGAAAGTATTAAAAGATAATTATTTGGCCATGATTTATGATTATTAATTTGTAGTCACACCTAATCGTAATGCCTTTCTCTCATTACATTTAGTAAGTCACTAGCCACAACTAATTTGGCAGTTTTAATTTCTATACATTTAAGATAAAAAAATGCCCTGACTGATCCATCAATATAGAACCTTAACCGCTGGGGCTGCACACTTGAAATTTGGGTCAGCTGATGCTTTTTATGTTGTAATTTCACCTCTTAACCGTAAAAAAGGGGATGAACGGTTGGATGGAAGTTTGTTATTTTCAAAGTTAGAAACACGAAGTAAGAGATATTCACTCAGGAAATAGTTAGGTATATGAAATGTTAACTTATGTGTTTTTTTTTAATTCACAGAAAAGCGTCCACATGATAAAGGTTTTAGTCGTTGAAACTTTTTAGTGATGGGATTTTCTTGGAGGACTCGTAAGGTTTAATGTGATACTATGACAGTATAATCATTAAACCAAGGAGGGTAACTTTGCTATCTACCCATACGAGTAAATCGGTTGTGGTATATTTTCTACTAGGTACAATTCTAATCATTGTACTTAGTTTAAATTAAAAAAATAACAACAAATATATATTCGGTTTTTGTATGGAACTGTGAGTCAGATTAAAAAACTAATTAAGAACCCGATTCCTACAGATTATAAGATATTTATTATCACTCTATAAAACTTAGGATCCGAGCAGTTCCTATGCAGCGGATAAAACTGTAGGCAACGGCTAGTGTCTTATTCATACTCGTATAGGTGAAACTCTAATACTGTAATAAAAATAAAACATTATTGTTTATTTTTTAATGCTCGTGACAGTTTTTGACGAGGAGATATAATTAGTATCTTAACAGAGACGAAGAAAGAGGTCATATAACGCAGAAAACCGGTGTTAAGTAAAAGCACTTGTCTACATCGGCGGACTTAATGCCCTGGGCATTCCCTACCAGCCAACCTTTGGGTGGTGTAGAAATCTGGTGAGGTAGGCGCACTGATATTACAGTTGTAATAGTAGTTATATAGTTTTAACTAACATTTACAATTACACACATATATACATACATAAATATAAATACATATACTTTATTTTCGTACACTGTAAATAGGGAGGTGTACTATTGAACAGGTAATACCGCCAACTCAAGAAGGTAGTTATGTACCTTCCGTCGTGGCTTTCACCGAGTGAGTAAGGTTACCGGGACTCAACCCATCTCCCCCTGATTCTGGGGGTACTTAAGGGGCGGTAACCCACTAGTGACTCTTGAACTTCAGGTGGACACCTAAAGTGGCTGCGGTAGTAACTACCATCAGGGGTATGGGACAATATTATAAATAGATCCTTCTTAAAGAAGTTGAACCGACTTCAAACAATACTAACAAAGAGCACTAAAAAATTAGCAGCAATCGCGGTTTATTTGCTGTCATTTTTTGAAGAGTTCCTTTATCTGTCTCCGAAACTGATCATTTGATCTACGAGTATATGAAATTTAAATGGGATGGAATAAACCCAATAAAACATATAAGCATCCGTATTAATAACCTCCTCCTTTTTGAAGTCGGTTAAAAAATTGTACAAGAAAGTCTGGTTTCATTTACAAATATAATTGATTAAGTTACGAATTACTAGATAGACAGTTAAATACTGATGATTCTTACTAATTGAACAACATACCTGACAAAGGTGAGATTTTATTATTTATCTCCATATTTTCTTAAGTAATCGCTAAAGCAATTAAAATCACATTACCTATTGAAGAATCCTAAGTCATTCCTAAAATGCTAACAAAAGGGAAACATTATACCGACGCCTATCCATTTAAAGTAATTAGTATGAATGGATTGAATGAACGCTGGCTGATGAATCAATTTCTGATGGGATAGTATGAAATATAAAGGCAGAAGTGGTAAATGAGTTATTTAATTTTTGAGTAGGAGATTTTTTTTGAGTCAGACTTTGAGCTTTAGAAAAGGAGGAGTTAGGTAATTTGTTCTTCAAGCAGTTTCATTTTTTCCTCACATATGTTTAATGATTATTACTCAATTACTAATAATATAATTTCAATTACTTGAGCTACATGGTCCGCTGAGTTAGGGCAGCCCTTATAATTAAATTAGGCTGGATAATTTTATTAATCTTATATAAATAATATAACTAGCAGTGAAAAGCAGTTTAACTTGCTTTTATGATCACTGCTCCGCTCCCAAAGTCTAGCTTAATGTTGGCTTAAAACTTTACTCAAACAATACTCTATGTATTTCACAACGAATTTTCAGAATCCATCAGATTATTAATAAACAAGCAATCTTATAAAAATCATCAGCTTTATTTTATTTTAATATTGTATTTAGAGGATAATTAACGCCCTAAAATAATATATTTATATCTTAGGTACAATGATATACAAGCAGTGAATAATCTAATACAATTTGCTTGCCAGTAAAGGTATATATACCCTTCAGCATCAGCCAATAATAATAGTTATTATTAATTATTATTAACTAAATAATTAAATAAATTATTATTAACTAGTAACTATCTAATAAATTGTATAGTTTAAACGGAAATTAAGTCAATAGATTGGTCAATACTTATTTTAGCATTTAAAAGTTATCTTATAAAGCGGTGTGCATTGCAGTTGGAAATTTATATATTCTTGTAGCTTTGCACAACATTAAGATTATCGAGTCAAAGGCTATGATGAATGAAAACGGGAGTATTTAATAAAAATAAATTAGTTAATATGTATTATTACGCACGCGTAGATATATCAAGGCAAGGGGGAAATAAGCAGCTGCTCTCCCCTCGTCACGCCCATAAATTAAGACCTTCAAGGACCTACACAATTTATGTTAATTTTTTTACTATTTACGTGTGAGATATTTCTTAGTAAGATATAGGTATGAGATACATATACATATTTTATACTTACATCACCAATGATCATCATCATCAACAGCCATTACTAGTCCACTGCTGAACATAGGCCTCTCCTTAGAAAGGAGGGTTTGGCCTACTATACCACGCTAGCCAGACGGGTTGGTATAGGGTTTGTTTCAAGTTTTGATTCTTTTTGCAGTGCTGTTGTCCTGCGTAGTTTGTTCCCTTAGTCGCCTCTTACGACACCCACGGGATGAATAGGGGTGATGACATTCCGTATTCTTAATCCGTCACCACACGGACGGATTATATACTCGTTTCATTTTTTCTAAAAGGTACGGTAATGCATGACCATCGACCGTGATAATCTTTTTTATGACGACGAAACGAGTAGACTAGTCACAAGCGCGTTGCCGGCCTTTAGGGAAGGAATAGGCTCTTTAATAAAATAAATAAATGTTTAGTACCAAATGCAGTTAACTCTAACTTTTATTCAGTAGGCCTTGTTACAGAGGACAGTAAAACGTCTGACAATCAAATTTAAAAAAAAATACAAGACTAGTGTCTTGTATTTTTTTTGGATAACAGTAATGAAATGATCCTGACGACGCAGCGAAAGGTCATAAGAATCACATAAACACATTTGTATCCATATTTCAATAGACCAGTCTGCTGTCGTCACCAGACAGACGGGTTTATAATTACGAGTAAGGCTACATAGGTTCGTAACGCGTCTCACCAGAACAGAAGGTAAGGTTTTAAAGATTCTATAAAACCCTGTCGGGCCGATGGAACCTACATCGAACACTAATAGTATTTCTTGTTTCTCTAATACACCTGCTGTTCTGGTGGTTCGATTCGCATCCAGGACAAATGATTGCGTGATGAGCGCGATTATTTGTTCTGTATCTGGGCGTAATTAATCTATAATTCAACCCCTTGGAAACGGGTTCAACCCCTTACCATGGGCTCAAATAGGTTCAACCCCTTAGAAATGGGCAGTTGTAGATCAGCACAAACATAACGGCAGCCGTGTGTGAGATGACTCAAGTTTTTATTATTGTTATTAATATATATGTATATGAAGTGGAGGAAAGTATGATAAAAGAAAAAATGTAGTAATTTTAATTAAATAATAGCCAGATAAATAAAGTAAAATAATGTGTGATAAACCAGAATAGTTCAAAAAACTTTGGTGGTCAGTTGTTTCAATTAGTAGGTATTCCACTTATAACTTTAATTTTAGATAGCGTCTCTGATACAATTTGTACACATAATCATTGTAATTAATGGTGGATAAAAAGCGGCCGTAAATTTTTATTGCATAGTTATTTTTTGCAAGATAACACTGCATTGTGAACCTGGCAGCAAGAACATTTAAAAGTAACAGTAGTTAATTTTTATATCGTGCCTTTCGGAGCTAAATGAATAGTTATACATATAATTAAATTAAGATTAAGATTTTAAATAAAACACTAAAAACAGTTAACGTAAATGTTTCTATATTTTCTTTTACTAATGTCTATAGCAATAAATTATACTTGTTCTATAATACAATACTACTTAGATTTGTACATATTTACAAACAGTCCAAAACTAACCTAAATATCACAGTTTACACAATTACAACTACATAGCAAATATTTAATGAGGGAAACGTTCATACCGACTTGAAATCAAACTTCCATGTTCGTAGATGTCACAATACCTGAAATTAAAAAGAAAACATTGTCTAACTTGTCTTGATAGTATTATTACACAGGTGATGAGGTAGTTGGGATACACATTAAAACACTTAACAACTTATATTTTAAACTCCATTTTAAAATCCAAATAAAACGTAATAAAACATGCAAGTTCTAGGAATATTTGTTATCGCCTCTTAAAACCATTTCCACACCAAATTTTAATCTACAAGTATGTTAAATAAGGTTGTATTTCCTAGATGTTTCTTTTTTATATTGTTGTTTATAAGTACGGAAAGTAACACGATTAGGGGTATATGTAACACACAACTTTGAATTGCCGTACGTTCAGGGCCTCAATTCTGCTATTACGCCAACCCAGTGTCATACTACTGACACGCTATTGAGATGCCATTGAGTAGCCATTGGCATCGGTATAAATATCGGTAGTTGAAAATATATTACGTTTTTTGAGGAAATGATTTATTTGTTTTTATTATAATAAATTATTATAAGAAATAAATAATATATTTTCAACTACCGATATTTATACCGATGCCAATGGCTACTCGATGGCATCTCAATAGCGTGTCAGTGATATGACAGTGGTTTGGCGTGGACATGAAATAGCAGAATTGAAGCCCCGGTCAGGTTGCACAGGCCGTTGTCACTGGCGACAAAACCTATTATGTGTTTGCGTTAATACCCGTACGTACGTGAGATTAGATCTATATAATGGAACTGACTTATTCTGATTAACTCATACTCATAATAATTTACAGATACCTAAAAATGATTATATGAAATAAATTATTAATATCATCATCAACAGCCTTTCATAGTCCACTGCTGGACATAAGCCTCTCTTTAGGAAGGTTTTGGCCTAATATACCGCGCTGGCCAAACGAGTATAATGATTAATTTGATTTCGCCAAATTCTGTTTAAAAGTATAGTGTCTAGGAAGTCAAGAGAGACAGTTGTCTTTTTTTTGTAAGGTTATCATTTTGGATAAGGCGAGTGGTACGTGCTTCTTACTCATACCTCTCCAAGGTTAGCCAAGAGTACTGTAACATTCACAAAAGAAGACAATGTCCGTGTGTCCTGGCAATTTCGCATGCTACTTTGCTCATTAGCGTTGAATCTATGATTGAGGAATTAACCTCAAAGTACTGACCCCTCACTAATTAAACCACTTCGAGTCTAACATACAGAATCACCCATGTATGTACTCTTAAAAAAAAACCGGACAAGTGCGAGTCGGACTCGCCCACCGAGGGTTCCGTACAAACTTGCAGATACATATTTTAAATAATTCACGAATCGAGTCTTACACTTTTTTTCGAGCTGTTCCCGAAATTCATTTTCCTTGTATCCAATTGTATGCCCAATTGTACCTCGATTATTGATTATGCACTTTAAAATAAAGACTATATTATATTTATTATATATATCTGTCTTTACACTGAATCGGGAATCAGGATGAGACTCACGGTGCACGGACTCATTGTGCGTATTTAATATGTATTAGATCATTCTAGTGTTGGACTAAAGTTCAGCTCCTGCGCATTAAAGTATAAGAATATGTATAAGTAAAGTAAAGTAAGTAAAGTATAAGAACATTTATATATATGTGTATCTGTATCAAATTTACAAACACACACACACTGGTATCTAACACATTTCAATCATGTGTCTTCAAATAGAAAAATTACATCCAGTGATAGTCAATTCACACAATAATAAATCCATTATCTTTAAAAACAGGTATAATTTAAAAGTAATCAACAATAGAATTTACAATAAATTGCGAAATTATAGCCTGCACTCTGTATTTTACTTGTTTTTAATTGCAACAGCAGACTATCCATTCATAGCAATATTGTGACTATTGCGTTAGGAATCAAACATTAATGTAAAAGTAATTAAAACTTTTAACTCTTAATTAAATTGATGTGGATTACGTAGAAAAAATTACATAATTTTTTAATAAAAAACTTCTTAAACCTTTTTTTTTGGCCCAAATACGATTACTACTGCAAAACGATTGCCGGATGTCAGCATTACATAAAAATAATAACTGTAAGTTTGAACTGCTGAGCTACGGTTTACTTTTTACGGTTGTACTTTTTCCAATATGGTGGTCATTAAAATTATCAATCAATCACAGCAACCGTCTTATTGCTCAAAACCAAATCCTGGCCAACAAAAAAAGGTTTTTGTGTGGATTATTAGAAAACGTTATCACCGGTCTTAATATGCGTGTTTTAATACAAAGAAAAAAAGACGATAACTGCATGCTAACATACATGTATTAACTTTCAATGCGTTTTGATGGCCCGATATGTACATTCACAAAAAATTGACAATGTTTAGTTTAAAGTCTATGATTGCGTGCTTGCTATGGTTTCATAAGTTTGGCTTTAAAATTTCTAATGTATTACCGATTCTGAAGTCAATCGTTTAAAAGATAGCTATATATTAAACAAACCTCTTTATTTTATTAAATGCTTTTAGTTTATTGATGCCCTGCCCTGATCCCTCAGCCGCCATACTCACCAGACCTTGCACCTACCGACTATTACTTTTTCCAAAATTTAGACAACTTTTTAGTGGGTAAAAAATTCAATTCCCGAGAGGCAGTTCAAAATGCCTTTGAAGAGTTTGTTGCCTCCCGTCCAGCTGATTTTTACAAAAAGGGCATCAATAAACTGCCAATGCGTTGGCGAAGATGCGTCGATTGCATGGGTGATTACTTCGAATAACAGAAATAAAAAAGTTTGAAAAAATAAGTACTTTCACTCATTGCATACAAAATTTCATAGGTAAAGACCTATTATATAAAAATACTTTAAACATACTTTAAAACTACAAGTTTATCATCATCTCTTTATCGTGCACTGCATGGCACAGCAAAACTATTTACCGCAAGTATGTGAATAAGTGTTTTGTGTGAGCTTAAGTGGTCGCTTAGGTTTTACAGATGATGATTTAGGAACGTATATTTGAATTAATAAATTGGCAATAAGCCATAAAATGAAGTAAATCAAAAGGTTTATGCACAAGGTTTTTAACTTTCTTTCGCCTTTTTTTCTTTAAAATGGGAATCTATACCATATTTTCTTGCAGATCTACTGGCTTTGTACTTGAAGGATTCCAAGTCATTTCTAAAAATTAGTAGTAGTAGTAGTAGTAAAGTTTGCAATTGATGTCATTCAATACACAGTGCATGAATTCGCAAAGGAACATGAACGTTCGAACAAAAACTTAAAAATATCTTTTTACTGGATCTCTGTAGTTTTCCAAAATTTTACCAGGTTATTATATTATCATTATGTACTAATATACCAAACTTAAAAAAAAAGCGGTAAATCTCTGACCGGGAGTACTACCTTAAATTCGTGTTACAACTTATTTTATTAGAAATAATGTAGGTACATTCGAATGGTGGGAGAATTTTTACCAATCTCAATACGAGGTTTACTGGTCAGGCCCTATAAGTTTGGGAGCCCCGGTACACAGCACTGTCTAGCCCTTCGGTAGCTACGCCACTGATCAGGAAATTAACTGGTGTTAAGATTTACTACACGTTATACGATATCTTGGAATAATATATTATTTATATTAATATACAACAATACATGACCTGGCGCTCGAACTGCCACCAGAAATTATTAAGTTTAATTTGTGCTTAATTTTAGTGGTCAGTATAACTTGAATTATCATTATTTGGATTTAGATAATATGACACGTCATCAGATATACCTACATAATGTAATAGTTGTACTCATTTGCATCGACTGTAACATAATTTATATACGATCGTCAACGACGAGCTCTTAAATAGTCAAGAAATTTTGGGTTTTATTAATTTTTTATTCCCATTCCCATGAAATAAGAGAAATCTGTAGAACAAAGTGATGAAAGTGATGAATAAATTATTATTATTTTCAGATAAAATTGGTTACACATATCGTTTCAGTTTCCGCCGTTCTTTTATGCATGAGCTTTAAGCATTCTGAATTCCACTTTCCTCAGAACACATTTTTCTTTAAATGCGTAGATACAAAAGTACCCTTCATGTACGTTATGGAGGATAGAGGCAAGGAAAACCATCTCTGCATATAAATTGTCCGTAAAGACGGGTCCAATAAGGGTGGCGCTGCGGTAGCCTTGTATAAATTTATATTGACTTAAATAATAATTAGACACTGTGTAGCGACTGCCAAAATAGTCAATGAGTTTTACAGACAATAAATAAAGGTGTAATAACTTTCAGACAGTAAAAGTATTAATTTTAACTCAGCACACTTCACTTCGTTTACAACAGCTATGTTCATATCGTAGTTTTTTGTTTAGTGTTGGACACTTTTTCAACTTTCCACCCATATGAGATGGTTTTCCTTGCCTACACTCTATAATGTAGGTATATGGATTATGATGAATACCCACGTATTGCATAATATTTAATTTATATATTATATACTATGCAGTATGTGGGTAATCACAACAATCTATTATAAGTACCCATATTAGATATCGATGTTGATATCTTAGATTCTGTACAAAAAATATACTGAGGCCATGACACAGTAGCATTGTCGATTAAGTCACGAGTTCAATGACCGGTTCGGCATTAATTTATTAGACAAAAAAACTTAATTGAGAATGAGCAACTAACAATATCAACTGCTTAAGTCTTAACTATGTTTATGAATACTTTACTACCTAATTCTCATGTTTCTAATGCCAGCTGTTCTTGATCGATATCCAGCCGCACTAATAAATTAATGAAGTTATATACGTGTATATTAAAAATTAATTATCACTTGCTGTATAACTGAGAAATTTCTATAAAGTTTTAGAAGGTTTCACACTGAGACAAGCTAGCGGAAGGAGAATCTATGATTGGCAGATCTATCTATCTATGATCTATCTATGATCGTTACTATATACATACTGCGCGTACTGACTGATTGACTTGACTGTTAAAATTATATCACAATGAGTACATTCACAACAGAACATTTAATCGGAAATTTATAATCAATACCGCATACGGTCAAAAACTGCAATGTATAAAGCCGAAGCGCGCGGGGCCTTCTTCCGGCCGCCAACTTGTGTTACTGTGTGTAGACTGTTTGTAATGTAATACAAATGTAGTTATTACTTTTGTGCGATACCTACGGGGAATGACCATAACATTTGACAGCTGATTGCATAAATAATTTTCTAGCAGAAAATTCCAATGATTTTCGACTCAGAATGGTTTGAATACACTATTTCAGTATTCGTTAGTACGTCTCTTACACTCTCTATATACTAGTATAAGAAGAAGGACATATTCATCTCAAGTCATATTTATCAACCTATACTATGTATTTCCAAAGTAATTTAACTTACCTATTAGTCTCACTAAGTTCTCGGCACAAGATGTTGTTCAGTGTACAAATCCCCGCGGTCACTAATGTCTGCCATCACTAATCATCTAACTATTTTACTGCATACATGAACTGTCTCTAGACATTTTCTTATAACTAGAGCTACCGTGAGATCTGTCTTTACACCGATGCTACACCTGAAGACAAAGAAAAAACACATTATTTTTATAACAGGCATCTTGCTTAGCACTAGAGCTATAGAAAAATCAGAAAATGTTTGCAATTCCTTTAACGACTCCACCAGGCGCGGTTCGAGAGGAGGATGCCAGGATAACTCTCAAAATATTTGACTTGGACCGCTTCTTTCCTCAGTTAAATGAATACTAGAATATTCAACATATACATATATATTACAATTAAGATAAGAAAGATGTGCTTGTACTGATTAGAGCACAACTCTTCTGATTTTTATTATAGCTTTAAGTTATTTACCTGATTACATAATTGTTTAAGATGGTAACTATGTTGAAAGTAGACTGTTAAAGTTTTAAAATAAAGCTAACTTAAAAGTGATTTACAAGTAATGAGCTTACCAAAATTACAATTTAATACTAATTTAACGCAACGTAGGCTGTAAATGGCTAACACAAGACGAGCTAAAAACGTCCAAATAAAATACGATCAAGGTTTTATTTATTCAAGTGTTTACATAAATTTACTTTAAATGATTACAATCCGAGTTTTGTGATAAGAAACTCTCAAACGCAGACTGATTTATTTTCACGCTACTATATTTCTTATACACATAAAAACAACGTAATTATACTCAAACACACTTTTAGCATATTATGAGTTTAGAATTAACCACTTTCGAATAATTTCTTTGTTTAATAACAAAATATTATGCATTCCGTAGCATTTTCAATGGCCCAAAAATATGTAGTTCGATTTTAATAAGCATCATACTTAAAGTAATTGTTGAAAATACTTGCTATTAAGGTAATATTTAGAGAATTATACCGCAGAAAATAGCTGCTCTTCTAGATAGGATAAAAAAAATACAAAAAATACCTCACGATTATAAAAATAGAAATTTTAAATCTAACGGTTATTTAATTCATAAATATGAAATGGATGGATTACTTGGTAAAAAAGTTATTATCCGGTATTAATATAGAATGTGGTTGCTTTCAAACAGCGCTGTAAAATTATTTCGCAGTGTAAAGCGTTTGCATGTATTGTGTGCACCTTTGTTGTCGTGTTCCAATTGCGTTTTATACTATTCAGAACTCCCGCTGCACATTGCTCAGCAGGCCAGGGGTCGCTGCCATTAAATGACATCCTAGACGGAAGATGAAAGGTGCCATGTTGTTGTCTAATAGTTCATGTACTTTAAATTATCAGGAATTGTTTTGATCACTTATAAAGTTTATAATAATTTATTCATTTGTATAAATTATTGGTTTTATTAAGGTTAAGGTATCTGTGTTTATTTCTGAAACATTATGTAATATGTGCAGACTGATAGGTTAATTTAACACCTGTAATTAATATAAGATTCAGGAACTTATGATGTATCACTTAATTAACGGGTGTTAAACGATAAGGTACTTAATGTACTTAATGTAAAACATTGAAAGAGAATTAATCAATTAGTATTTAATACCCCTTTTCAAGTTGCATGACATTGTATATACTCGTATTTTATGTTCAGAAGTGTTATTTTGACAGTTAATCTTGCAATGATTTTAAGTTTTTTTTCGGTGACAGGGTGGAAAATCCCTTCGTATCTCCGGCTCCTAAAGAAGCCAGGAATTTGTGGTATAACCACAAAAAACCACCCCGACGGCCAGCCCGGACTATGTGGTGTCAGCTTCCGCCCCTCCGGATTGACGCCGCATCATGCCAGCCACACAGCCAAAGGCTTCCCCCCTATCACTAAATCTTTTTACCTTAGATCTTATTCCTATCACAACTGCGCAGAATCTTGTTGTAAACATTTTTTACGTTTTTTAATATAGTTTTTTAAAGTGTCAACTAGTTAAGGTTATTGATGATGATGGTGATATATACTGTATTCTATTTTTCGTTTATGATACAAGGGTGAACTATGATACCACCGTGAATGGGTTGCATCTAAGGTATTTTACATTTTACACCCTGTGTCTAGTATTGTTATTATTAGACCTATTTCTTAGCGTTCCATGGATTCACCGTTTCGGGTGCCGGGTCCATCGCGTGATAGATGGGGGCAACACATGCGACTTCGACAGCAACTGGGACTTGCGACCTAGGTATACATAGGTTTAGGGAGTACTCCGCTCTCTGCTGTGTTATGCCCTCTAACTAACTTTATTTGATACGAGCCTAGCAATGCCGCTTTGGATATTCGTTCAAGAAAAGAGCTTACTGAAGCTCTTGGCAATCCAAGGTCTTTAAGCAGGTTATTTAGCTGGAATACCCCTTGCACCCACTTCCACGGCATACAACGCATCGACATAACCATTTTTAGTTATTTCGTTGGTTAAGTCAAAGTACTTGTTTCTTTTTAAAGCGTGGTCTTTAGGGATGTTCGTTTAGCACGGCACCGTGAGTTCTACTAGTACTACACCTTAACTGAAATTGCACAAAGACATATGCTTAGTCTGGACGCCGAGACACAGATATCGTCCGGTATTTTGTAATGATTTTCATACGTGTCCACTAATAATATCCAGTTACTGGCGTTATTTATAATTGAGTACAACTGTTGTAAAGTTTTTTTTTGTTGAGCCTACCTTTACAAACGCGATGTTAGTTCTTATGTTTGTTGTTATTCCTTTTTTCGCTCTCGCCAGCGATAAACACATAGCTTCGCGTATGATTTGTAATACCCTATCATGGCGACGTTAATAATGACCCCGGTCTAATAGCGCCTTACAACCTATCAGTAAGTGCCTGAAATAGGTACACATATTTCAGCACTGCACATCGTACAAGCCTTTTCTGTAGTTTTTCCCCACCTTACTAGGTTGAGGTAAAATTTTAACAGGGCAGGTGACCAATCATATAAAAGTGTGCGCCATTTCAAAGCTGGTGGGATAAAAATTTCACCTAGAGTTAACCATTCATTCTGCATTTCTAAGTTGATTGCGTGCACCTTGTAAGTCTCGTTTTCATCTTGTTGTAGGAAAGATTTTGTTATCTCTTTGTCGGTCTGTCTTCTAGCATTTCCCAATCCAACTCTACTGGACTGCGTACCCACCATGAATTTCTTGTGGAATTGGAGCCGTGACGCGAGCTCTGATAAATGTTTGACTTTTGGAAGGGATCTAACGATTTCGTCTTGTGACAAGACATGCATTTTGGTAAGTCTTAGGTGTTTGTAGAGTTCCGAAGGTCTTTTTAATTTCATTGAAAAGTTATTCGAGCCTCTGTACAACGTTGACGGGTCTGCAGATGTGGCTAGCCCAAGGCACGACTTCAATGTCTTAGTGACTTTCGCGTCCAGTGTCCTTAAGTGGTTGTGGTTTATATCGTATACCGATGAGGCGTCATGTTAAGTAGTTGTCGTAATATTGCTATTGGTCTACCTTGTTAATGTCTTTTACGAAGTCATCGACTATTGCGCTGATAGATGGAATACGACCTTTGTAGTCTATCTTTCTTCCAAGGAATTTAAAGGGCACGGTTTCTGATATTATTGAACAACATAGTTGTTGATTTATTGGGATATCTTATTTAACGTTAACCTGTCACCGATGAGCAAACACGTCCCTACCATTTTCTTTTTTCTAATAGGCTTTTCAAAATATGTGTAAAACGAAACCTACTTTACAGCATAAATCACATTACAGCAGATTACAGTTGTGCGAAGCAAAAACATAATTTTTGAAAGAGAAAATCTTCACAATACTTTAAGAATATTTGTGACACGATGTTATTGCACGGTTACCGAAAGATATTGCACAAATCGATTCTCTAGACCATCACCATAAAAACTGAAAATAATTTAACAAAACATTTACGACTTTCTACTTAATTCTGTAATTATAAAGTTAACAAGTTACTAAGTTTGAAATTTAATCGACATTAACCACGAACATAAGCTATCATTCTTGAACGAATTTAATTAATATATTTAACTGCTTAAATCTGCAAGGATGGGGTGATACAACGATTCAAATTTTTGCTTATATTATCTATATTCATATCAATAATACGTCTCTATGGCAGCTTTAAAAATAGTTGGGTACCCATAAAAACCTTGAACTTCTAAATATCTAAGGACACACTGATGAAGTGAAGGTTTGTAACACGAAAAAGTTATCAATGTCCTTGACTAGCGCCTGATCTTGCGAACGAATCACTAAATTTAAATTTAGAATATAGAGAAAATGATTAAATAAATGAATGAAAGTAAAAGCTGATATCTCATCATCATCATTAACTTCCTACCTTTTAAAGAATTATATTTGGGATAGGCGATAGCAGGTGGCTTATCTGTCGCAAAAGAATGCACTTAATCATGAACAATATTTCCACTGTAAGACAAGACTAAGAAATGAGGGGTAAAGAAAACGGATAGGAAGACGGTAGCCACTCTACATATCTCCTAAAGGAATATACCGCAATATTCAACCGTCCGTCCTAATAAATTAAGAATCGGAGAGGCCCATAGTCAATCTTACGTACATAAGTTGGTACCAATAGTAAGTAAATATGTGTATATAAAAAATATTAGGGAAACACTTCCGAAAACGAAGATGTACGATAGCACTTATGATACCATTGAAGATGAGTCAGAAAAAAACCAATTAGGATGAAAAAAATACATCTTTTTACAACGTTATATAAGATACCGTTATCCAGGTTTCTATGTTGATGATGTTGTTCTACTAACATTGCTGTCAATTTTGAGAAGTAGACAGAAAGGTAGACAAGAAAAAGACATTGATTATTTACATGAATTCCTGTAGGAGTTTCCCTTTAGGTAGCCTGGAACCTCCTCAAGAACAGGGCTATTTAAAACATAAAAATATTTGATATTAAAATATGTAATAACATGGTATAATTTATCTATAATATGTATGCATTTAGAAATATATAAGTAAGTTTATCAACAGACTGGTTACCATAGCACAGGCTCTGCCTAGTTTGGAATCAGACGGCCGTGTGTGAGATGTGTGAAGTTATTATTCGCTTTATTCAAATAAATATACATACTCGTATAAATTACATTTTTAAATATATTTACGTACAAAAAAAAAACAAAATACATTTAAAAATATAAAAAAAATTGCGTCCCATCAGTATAAGATACAGGGACCAAGATACCCGTGGTTAGGACTCCAGAGACAGAAACCTTCTCACAATACGTGCCGTATCGAGAAGAACTGCTTTCTGCATCTGACCCATAATCCAGCTGCCTAACGCGAGTCTCTGAAGATGTTGGTCGAGGCTCTGAGCAATTAATCCAAGCCCGATATTATTATTCTTAAGGTCTCTTAACGAAACGACAGATTTGGAGATGTGTACGTTATCAACGTAAAAAATAAACTTACGGTATTTAATTTAACTATGCTGAAAATATTGATTTCAATGACTAAGAAAGTTGTACAGTTTTAACAGGAATTTGACTGAATTAATTAAGTGAGTAAGTAAGATCTAATTGGCAGAGATCTGGTGCACTCATATATTTAACATTTTCAATGTAGCCACTTAAGAGATAACCTTGATAAACATGTAGTGGTTTACAAATTTATATAAGTACAAAACATTTACACACCCAATTCATCTAATAAATTCTCCATATAATAAATTATAGCTTAAAATACAAAAAAAAAACACTCTTTTGTAACTAGTCGAACTAAAAAGTAGAAAATGTTTTTTGTCGTTAATCGTAAAAATGCGTAGGGCGCTAAATATTAATTGTTGTAAAAGTATTTAATTGACAGTAATTGGTAAAAGTAAAGTTATTTTATTATCAAATATCTTGAAAAGCACCCCACGCTTTTTTACGACTAACGACTAAAATTATTTTCTACTTTTTAGTTCATCTAGTTACTAAATCGTGTTTTTTAGTCTTTAAACTATAATTTATTTTTGCTTTTTAGTCATTAATGATGATTATTTTCTCATTAAGACTAAAAAGGTAATAAGTAAGTAAGTCACATATGCTCCAGCACACGCCTCTTAGTACGTTGCAAAAGACACTACCGTAGGTATTTATTGAAACCTTAAAACTTACCGTAGGTATTGAAAAAGCCGTTAATCCTGAAGATCCTAATCAGGATAATCGGCCAAATTTATCAGATTGTTATATTATCATCTGTCCTTGATAAGTGTGCGAAGTTTTAAGTTAGTTCGACGTTTTGGAGTGGGTCAA